TGTCTCAAAAAAATAAAATAAATAAAAAAGAGTAGGTTGAAGACTTTGAGCCGAAAGAGCCTTTATGGATCCTATGGTGACCCCACATGCTCAGAGTCAATTAGGGTGATTCAGGAGGATTTTTGTGTCAGACCTTCAAATTTCTAGGAGGTCCTGGAAAGCAGCTTTACTAGGATCAGACAGGAAGCAGGGGATGGTGGGGGTGGTGGAGATGGTTTTTATGCTAGTTGTTGAAAGAAATTCTAATACAGAGTTCTCTGTATAAATCCTTCCCAGAATTAGCTATTGCTAATCAGTTGATCCATAAACTAACAGACATTTTTCTAGGACAGTGGTATTTAGAATGTGATACACATAGTTTAATGAGATATGTGGACTCTGTTACCCAGGCTGGAGTGCAGTGGCATGATCTCAGCTCACTGCAACCTCCGCCTTCTGGGTTCAAGCAGTTCTCTTGCCTCAGCCTCCCAAGTAGCTGGGATTATAAGCATGCGCCACCACATCTGTCTAATTTTTGTATTTTTAGTAGGGATGGGTTTTTACCATGTTAGTTAGGCTGGTCTCGAACTCTCAACCTCAAGCATCTATCTACCTTGGCCTCTCAAAGTGCTGCGATTACAGGTGTGAGCCACCCCACCCATCCACCTCACTTGATTTTTATATTTGCTTTTCAAAGAAAAAAAGTTTCCTAGTGCTTAGAGCCTGTAAATTTTTTTATGTTTTGTAGAGATGCTCTTGCTGTGTTGCCTAGGCTGGTCTCAAACTCCTGGCCTCAAACAGTCCTCCTGCTTCAGTGTCCTAAAGTGCTGGGATTACAAACATGAGTCAGTGAGCCCAGCCCGTATATTTGCTTTCTAAAAATTCTTCCTTTCAAATGTTTTATTTATTGTTTTAGAGACAGGGCTAGCCAAGCTGGGATGCAACAATGTGATCATAGATCACTGTATTCTCAAATTCCTGGGCTCAAATAATCCTCCTGCCACAGCCTGCTGAGTAGCTAGGATACAGGTCCATGCCACCATGCCTGGCTAATTTTTTTTTAGACACAGGGTCTTGCTGTGTTGCCCAGGCTGGTCCCAAACTCTTGGCCTCAAGCAGTCCTCCCACCCTGACCTCTCAAAGCATTGAGATTACATGCATGAGCCACCATACCCAGGCCCTAAAAATTTTATATTACAGGGTATATAATACGTTAGCATATGTGCGTAATTTATCAATAAACGAACATATATTAGAGATGCCTGCTCAAATTATTTTTTTTTTTTGAGACAAAGTCTCACCCTGTTGCCTTGGCTAGAGTGCAGTGGTGCAATGTCGGCCACCTCCTGGGTTCAAGTGAGTCTCCTGCCTCAGCCTCCCAAGTAGCTGGGATTACAGGCATGCACCACCGTGCCCAGCTAGTTTTTATATTTTTAGTAGGGATAGGGTTTCACTATGTTGCTCAGGCTGGTCTCGAACTCCTGACCTCATTATCAGCCCGCCTTGCCCTCCCAAAATGCTAGGATTACAGATGTGAGCCTCCTCGCCCGGTTCCTGCTCACATTTTTTTTATTTTTATTTATTTTTTTTTTTATTTTTATTGAGGCAGAGCTTTGCTCTGTCGCCAGGTGCCAGGCTGGAGTGCAACGGCACAATCTCGGCTCACTGCAACCTCCGCCTTCCTGGTTCAAGCAATTCTCCTGCCTCAGCCTCCCAAGTAGCTGGGACTACAGGCGTGTGCCACCATGCCCAACTAATTTTTTTTTTTATTTTAATAGAGACAGGTTTCACCATGTTGGCCAAGATGATCTCGATCTCTTGATCTTGTGATCCACCCACCTCAGCCTCCCAAAGTGCCAGGATTATAGGCGTGAGCCATCGTACCCTGCTCACATTTTTATAAGTAAAGTATGGAACCAAAAAATCAGGACACTATGCATTTACAGATACTTTTGTCTTTTTCTATTTTTATTTTTTCTTTCCCTCTCTGTCACCCCAGCTGGAGGGCAGTAGCACAATCTTGGCTCACTGCAGGCTTCACCTCCTGGGTTCAAGCCACTTTCCTGCCTCAGCCTCCCAAATAGCTGGGACTACCTGCAGGCACATGCCACCACACTGGCTAGTTTTGAATTTTTTAGTAGAGACGGAGTTTCACCATGTTGGCCAGGCTGGTCTGGAACTCCTGACCTCAAGTGACCCACCTGCCTCCACCTCCCAAAGTGTTAGGATTACAAGTGTGAGCCATCATGCTCGGCCTTGTCTTCTTTATGTGCATATGGTGGGGGACGGTATGTGGGTGGGTGTGTATATATAATATATAACATTTTTTAATATGATTGGTAAACTGTATACATTTCTCTTTTTTCTTTTAACAGTATATATTGTCAGGTCATCTGTCAAGAAACTTTTCTTTTTCTCAACTACTTAGTAGTCCACATTGGGAATGTCTCTTAATTTATTTAACTAGTCCCCTAATGATTGTTAAGGTATTTCCAATTTTTTGCTGTTATGAATAGTGTCAGAGTGGCATCTTTATACAAGTGTGTATCTGTGCACATAGGCACAGATGTCTCAACTGTCCTGGTTTATCAGGTTCTGTGAGAAATAAAGTTTGATTTTACTGAAATATTCATTGTTGGTTTGTTTCCTAGATGACCACTCTAGAGTCCACCTGACACCAGTGGAAGGGGTTCCAGATTCTGATTACATCAATGCTTCATTCATCAACGTAAGGAGCGGGTACTTCCCCCCTCACTCCCCTGCCTGACCATTGCCACCATCTCTTGGCTCCTCCCCAACTGTGTGTTAGGAGAAATATTTGTCATTTCATGTTTTCCCTGACAAGTCTGGTTTTTTTAAGTGACTGAATTTTTTTTTAAGGTTAAATAGTTTTAATCATTTCCTTATATTTACCATGTCATCATTCCCTGTGGTTTCCCATGTAGAAATCTGAGTCTGAATATGTATTTTATGCTAAGAGTCAGTGAATCCTTTATTGAGCTGATTCTGATCACAAACAAAAGCAGGCCTTGCCCTCAACAGTAAAAATAAGGGAGAACAGGACAAGAATACCTGACACGACACCAGCTATATAACTAGATATATGACTATCTGGGTAGTCATATATGAACAAAGGCCTGAGGGAAGAGTTGATACTAAGAGGAGGCTTTTAAAGATGATTTAGAGAATGTTTATAGAAGATTCTCTATGAGAGAGTTGAGGTTTTTGGTTGGTTGTTTTTATCTCTGCCAGTAGCCTGAATAAACACATAAAGAGTTAAGACTATATTTTATAGATTGTGAGGAAGAGAGAATTTGAACAGAAAAAAAGAGAGAGGGAAAATTGTCAAAACCTAGTCTGACTCCTGGTGCAAGATGCATGAGAAGCCTGTGGATGAAATTTGCACATGCATGTTTGTAGCAGCATCAGTCATAAAAGTCGGAAGATGTAAGCACTTCAAATGTCCATTGATGGATGAATGAATACATTAAATGTGGTACATGCATACAGTGGAAAGTTATTCAGCCTTTAAAAGGAAAGAAATTCTAATACATGCTACAACATGAATGTACCTGGAAGACATCATGCTAAGTGAAATAAACCAGTCACAAAAGGACAAATATTGTACGATTCTACATACAGAATATAGAGTATATATACATATGTAGAGTAGTCAAATTCATAGGGACAGAAAGTAGAATAGGGGTTGCTGGGGAGAGGGAGGAATGAGGAGTGGGTACAGAGTTTCGACTGGAGAAGATGAAAAAGTTCTGGAGACAGATGGTAGTGATGGTTGCCCAACAGTATGAATATGTTTAATACTACAAAACTGTAGGCTTAAAATGGCTAAAATCATAAATTTTATGTTGTATTTTACCCCAAGAAAAAAAACACTGATGGAGATACTAGTGTGAACATAAGAAGGGCTGTTTCTTCCTCTGAGAGTGAGGGTAAAGGAGAGGACAGAATGGATAGAGATGACTGGTAGGTGTGGGTAAAGCAAGTTGAGGCAACTCACCTGTGTTCTCATGGTTGTCTGCTGAACAAATGGAATGGGTCTGTGACATGAGAACAGCGAAAGTTTAGAAGAGCTTCTGAGGTCCATGAGAAAAGGATATTGAAGAGAGAAAGCTAAGGGCATGTCTAGCTGCACTGAGGGCCTGCCTACCTACAGTGGGATGCCACTGATGCGGGTGGGAGGTGCTGCATTGTATGTTTTTCTTCTTTTTTTCTTCATCTGCACCCTGGGATTGGTGGTAAATGCAGAGAGCATGTGGTACTCAGACAAAAGGGAATGTCAGTTGCTGCTTCAAGTAGTCAGCCAAGGGTTCAGTAGAAAAGAAAAGCGTTAGGAAGTTGTTAGGAATAAACTAATATTCTAGGAAAAGGCAGTTGGATCGAGGAACTGGAAGTCTTGAGAAAGTGAAAGAACAGAATAAGAAAAGGAGAAAGATGAAAAAGCAGGAGGTTGTGTCTAAAAAAGAGGCTATTAGATGGACTTCAAAAATGGGGTAGTCTGGGCATTCTCACTGGAGTGAATTTGTTGAAGTTCCTGTATGTATGTTTAACATTAATGGTTACATGTTTGTAGTTTAAGGGACCCTGACTAGACAAATAATTGCTGCAGTCGTTAAGGAAAAGGGAGAAAGGCTAGTAATCAGCAGGAATTCCTAGAACTTAATATCAAAGATCATGCTGAAGAGATTAGATGGATTAGGTTGATTTTAGTGTTGTGCAGAAGAGTAGAGCAAGATCAGTTAGTGTGTCCAGCTGCAGGTAAGCTAATACTCAACTAAAAGTTGTCTAGATGGGAACTTTTTTTTTTTGAGACAGGCTTGCCCTGACACCCAGGCTGGATTGCAGTGGCACAATCTCAGCCTACTACAACATCTACCTCCCAGGCTCAAGCGATTCTTGTGCCTCAGCCTCTCAAATAGCTTGGATTACAGACAGTTGCCACCACGCCCAGCCACTTTTTTATATTTTTTGTAGTGACAGGGTTTTGCTATGTTGGCCAGGCTGGTCTCGAACTCCTGGCCTCAAGTGATCCACCTGCTGCTGCCTCCCAAAGTGCTGGGATTACAGGCTTGAGCCACTGTGCCTAGCCGGGAACATTTATTTGTCTCATACAATATGAAAACAAATGTAGGCCAGTTCTTGAGTTGGCTAATTCCCTGAGTCAGTGACATCCTTAAGAACCCAGGTGCGCCGGGCGCGGTGGCTCAAGCCTGTAATCCCAGCACTTTGGGAGGCAGAGGCGGGTGGATCACGAGGTCAAAAGATCGAGACCATCCTGGTCAACATGGTGAAACCCCGTCTCTACTAAAAATACAAAAAATTAGCTGGGCATGGTGGTGCGTGCCTGTAATCCCAACTACTCAGGAGGCTGAGGCAGGAGAATTGCCTGAACCCAGGAGGCGGAGGTTGCGGTGAGCCGAGATCGCGCCATTGCACTCCAGCCTGGATAACATGAGTGAAACTCCGTCTAAAAAAAAAAAAAAAAAAAAAGAACCCAGGTGCTTCCATCTTTCTACTCAGTTATCCTTAGCCTTGTCAACAGTCTCATGATCACAAGATGGCTGCAGCCATCCAAGCACTCCTTGTAAACACAGCATCTAACACAGAAGAGGAACATATATGCCTATGCTTTTCTCTCTGTTAGGGAACAAGGCTTTTCACAGAATCTTCCCCACCACTCTGTCCTCAGGGCCAGCAGGCCAGGATTGGATCACATGCTCACATCCCTCTCTAATCACTGGCTAGGCATTGAGAATGATCATAATTTACCCCTCTGAGCCTGGAGAATGGACACTTTCCAAGCCAGTGAAAGGTTAATGTCCAAACAAAATTTTGGTTCCAATGGCAAAGAAGAAAGGAATGACTCTGAGTTAGTAACCAGCAGCATGTCTCACCATAACCAGTTTGGTCCCTTCCCACATTGAAGGTGAAAATTGACAAGAATTAATTGCATGTTAAGGCTGTTGAGCAGCTGAGATGGGGATCTCTTCGTGGTAATAGCACAGTAGAAAGAAACAGCCTTCTCCCTTGACCATATTTTGTTAGAGCTTACGCTAGGGCATCCCATAATGCCTTGATGGTTATTAGACAGTTATTAGAAGGCAGAATGAGAGTTTAGATGAAGGAGAGTTAAATTGGGGACCTTATGGACTCAGTGAAGGAACAAAAGCAGGGAAAAACCTGTCGTTAACCATAAGTAAGAAGCAGGGATTAAAGATTTGGATTTTGAAGTTTATTAAATTCAGTCAACTTTTTTTGAGCACCTGCTGTGTGCCAAGTACTGTGGGTAGGCTTAAAGGTTACAGGGGTAAGATGTGATCCCTCGTATACCACACAGGTAGTTAGATCGTTTCCTGTAATGTGCTATCTGTGCTAAGGAGGTATTGCCAGGTTCTGTGGAGTTCAGAGAAAAAACATTCAGCCCAACCTGGTAATCCAGTAGAGCTCATTATTGAAGGGTGAGTCAGAGTTCAGGAGAAGAAAGTTGGGCAGAAACTTTAAAGCAAAGGAGAAACATGTGCAAAGTCAGAGACTGGAAACAGCAGTCTTAGGTTATAAGATATAAGATGGGAACTGGTGGGAGTTGAAACTTGACCTTGAAAGGTAGTGGATGTCAAGTGTGTCCATTGAGGTTCTTACTTGCAGACTACAGAGTGTACTTTTCATTCACTCTCTTAAGCAGAAAAGGGCTTATTATAAGATACCAGGTACCTTACAAAACCTGTGGAAGGGCCAGTGAACCCATGTCAGATGCTGCTTAGCAAAGAGCAGAGCAGCTATAGATGTATGTAACGTGTGACCATCATAGTGAAACATCTACACAGTGCTGCAGAAGAACTGGATGTTTGTACTACCATACTTGGCCAAAGACCAGATTTTTAGCACAGTCATTATTTCATATTGCTCACTTCTACCCCGAGTCTTGTGTGGGAGCACCTGCTAGGAAGAAACTAGGTCTCGTGGAGAACTGAGCTGCTAGGGAGTCTGGGAAATTTAGCTGTAAGATAGTCAAGCTAGAAGGGAGCAGGAGTGAGTGTTAAGTGAACCACCTCATAGTGTCTGCCAATTTTCAGTACAGCCAAGGGGTTTTGATGAATTATTTAGGCCATGGGGTGTCATTGAAAAGTGTTCAAAGCAAGGAGTAGTGTGGCCATATTTACATATTTATCACTGGGGCTATCTTCTACAACATGGATTTAGGAGGGGCCCATTGGGGGCTATTGCAGTAGCAGGTAGGTCACAAATGATGAGGGTTGAAAAGGAAGCAGCAACAAAGTGAAGACTACCTGGAGGTAGAATTTAGCAGGAATTGGTGGTTGATTTACATATGAGAGAGTGGAGGGTGATACCCACGTGAATGTATCCAGCATACAGTTGGTCATATTTAAATGGAACTCATAGGAACTACTCTAGAGTGGATTTGGAATCATTAAAGAGAGGAGTGGGCCAAGAACAGGCCCCTGAGACCCACAGCCCTGCCAGGCACATTGAACAGGTACCCATGGGTGAGATGGAAGGAGAGAGAGAGGAGAGCATCTGAGAAGGCCAAGAGTAAAGAATGGCTCAAGAAGGGTTTAGCAGCCAACAGCGTTATGTGCAGATTAGAGATCCAGTGGGAAAGAGGAACAGGTTTTCTTTGGACTTAGCGTGTAGGGCAGCATCCTTTGCTGAAGCAAATTCAGGGGCTGTTTGTTGCATGTTCTGGTAGGCTGCCAGTTAACACTTACCAAACCCTTTTTTTCCCCTGACTTTATTGAGGTATAGTATACGTAACATAAAATTCACCCATTTTGAGTGAGAATTTAGTGATTTTTGATAAGTTTACCAAGTTATGCAGCCATCACCATAGATGTTTTAGAACATTTTCTGACAACTTTATATATAAAGATGTAATTCACATACCGTACATTTCACCCAGAGTTCACAATTCAGTGTTGTTTAGTATATTCACAGATAAATGCAGCCGATCACCAGTCAATTTTAGAACATATCCCCTCAAAAGAGGAACCTTGTAATCTAGCTGTTGCCCCTTTAGTTTTAGAACTCATTGCTCACCCCAATAAGAACCTCAGTGTCTAAATACAATTAATCTCCATTCTCACCCCCCAGCAACCACTTAACTTTTTGCAAAGAGAACTAAGACCAACACATGGATCTTAAAGGGAACCAGGCACCATGGAATAGTGGTGAAAGGCAAAGGAAAGTGGGGTCTATAGATTGGGAAACGCATAGGTCAGCTAACCTAACACTGGTCACAGGAGGAGATGAAACAGAGGCAGTGGCACAGTTGGCAGGTGGGATTCGAGCCTAGAGCCTTAGGAGAAACCAGTTTTCTTGCTCATTTTTAGATATCTAAGAATATATAGGATCTTTAGATGTGTTTCTTTTTACTGGTAGGAATGTAGCTAACACCTAGAGCCAGCTGAGATTCAGCTTTCAGAATCTAGAGACATCTTGGGAGCCAGGGAGCCACATTTCAAATTTCCCTTGAACATAACACAAGATCAGTGGCTTTGCCTCATTCTCATTACTCTGTATTAGTTAAGCAGTGCTGCCACATCACTGTACAGGCATGTTTTCAGGAGGGCATATGGCCCACACCTGGTAAAAGATGGGGCAGGAAGCACTTTGGGGCTGGGCCTTTCGACCATGCTTTCAAGCTGTTCAAGGCCCACATGCTGCAATGAGAATTTAGCAGTGACTCCTTGTGGAGAAGGAATATGACATGCTTAACATACCCTTAAGGACTTCTCAGTTTTAATTATAAGTTTAATTTAGTACTATAAGCAGAATTTACCATCCAGAATTAAGGCTATTTCAGTTTCCATCCTCTAATAAATAAAAACATTTGTTGAAACTTAAATTGCTCTTCTCAGTGAAAAGTTTAGCAAGTCTTCTGTAAACATATCCATCTCTGGTGCCTAAAGCTTTCTCCTTCTGTGTTAGGCAGCAACCCTGCCCTGCCCTTGTTTAAACTGAAATTGAAAGTGGCTGCTCAGACCAGAAACAGTGGCTCACACCTGTAATCCCAGCACTTTGGGAGGCCAAGGCAGGCAGATCACTTGCGGTCAGGAGTTCAAGACCAGCCTGGCCAACATGGTGAAACACCATCTCTACTAAAATACAAAAATTAGCCGCCTGTGGTGGCACACACTTGTGATCCCAGCTACTTGGGAAACTGACACAGGAGAATCACTTGAACCCAGGAGGGGGAGGTTGCAGTGAGCCAAGATCGCACTACTGCACTCCAGCCTAGATGGCAGAGCAAGACTCCATCTTAAAAAAAAAAAACAAAGTGGCTCCTGGGGAGGGATAGCATTAGGAGAAATACCTAATGTAGATGACGGGGAGATGGATGCAGCAAACCACCATGGTGTTTGTATACCTATGTAACAGTCCTGCACGATCTGCACATGTACCCCAGAACTTATAATAAAAAAGGTTTTTTTAAAGTATCTCCTCAGATTTGGCCCCTTCTTATATTTGGCCACTGCCTTGCAGCCTTGTACTTCATATTGCCACCCTGGTGTTGATATGACTTGGTGCCTCATTCCTGAAGCTGCCTCCCTCATTACTCATTTTATTGCTGTCTCAGAGGGGAAGTGGGTGATTCACAATCCTTAAATAAAGTGGTTTTCACCTACCTAGGACTTCTCAAGTGAACATACATTTAAACAATTGGGTTGAAAAGATGTGTAACTAGAACAATAAAGACTGAAAAAGAAAGCTGAGGCCAGTTTAGTTTTTCAGAGGCTCCTCATCTGTTGAGTGGTACCCCCAGGCTCCCTTGCTTCTTGTCTCCCACTGCCTGTGATGGAGAAGCCTCTCATCAAACACTGGGAGCTGCTTCACCATACTCAACAGGCTATTGCCAGAAAGATTCCGCACCTGGGTAAAGCATCCTCAAGGAAATAACCCATTGTCCTTCCTAGAGTAAACCAGCTTCATCCCTAGAACCACCACATATGCTTTTCCCCTGGTAAGTTCTTACCTGTTAACACTGAAACCTACATTGTCGCTGCTGATAATGTATCAGAAACATGATCTAACCTAGGATTCGGTATTTGGATTTCTTATTCTAGTATTTATTAATAATTCAATTTGAGAAGACTACCTAGACCATTTGAGTTTTATAATCTTTAATTCCTAGCTCCAAAGCTAATCCACTTGGTAATATCTAGACTGGAAATCCTTGTTAAGTACCTGGACCTTTTCACAAGGGAGGTTTTGTTAACTGGTTGGAGTCAGATTGGAGAATTTCATTTCTATTCATTTTTGGTTTTCTCTTTCTTTTTCTTTCCTTCCCCGCACCCCAGGGCTACCAAGAAAAGAACAAATTCATTGCCGCACAAGGTAAAGTAATGACAACTTTTTACTCTTAGATTTAGCCACGATTCCATAATGGGTTTGGGTTTTTTCTTCCAAATGCTGAATGGATTAACCAGAATTCTGTAGCTTTTCTGTAATTTTTACCACCTGAAAGAATTGTAATCCATTATACAGGTTTGCAACTAACAGCCTTCATCTTGATGACTTAGTATCCAGGGATCCAGGGATCCATTAAGTCTTTTTGTATATGTATATTAAAAAGACTGGAAAAGGCTCTATACACAAAACACAGTCTAATGAGGCTCTACGTCCTTGGGGCTAATTAACCCTAGGTTCCAGCCATGTTGCTCAGAGTTCAAATTAGGAATCAGTTTCCAGAGAGGATCAGCCACCTCACAGGGCCCAAGCTGGTTCTTCTCCCCCAGCTCGTGGGCCTGAGCCTCATCATTATTCAGATAAGTGGCCTAGGAACCCTCATAGCAGGGACCCAGCACTGTGTCCCTTATGTGTTCTATACACATCTCCAGGCCTGCTGTTCTCACAAGTGTCTTCACTCTTGGAACCCTAGTGAAAACATATGGATATTTGCAGCATTAAAAAGTAATTGAGACTGGGCACCATGTCTCACGCCTGTAATCCTGACACTTTGGGTTGAGGGGGCAAGACAGGAGGATCGTCTGAGCCCAGGAGTTAAAGATCAGCCTGGCCAACATAGTGAAACCCCATCTCTACTAAAAATACGAAAAATTAGCCAGGCCTGGAGGCATGCACCTGTGATCCCAGCTACTTAGGAGGCTGAGGCACAAGAATCTCTTGAACTTGGGAGGTGGAGATTGCAGTGAGTGAGGCAAGATCAAACCACTGTACTCCAGCCTCAGTGACAGAGCGAGGCTGTCACCTCAAAAAAAAAAAAAAAATCAAGGCTGGGCACAGTGATTCACGCCTGTAATCCCAGCATTTTGGGAGGCCGAGGTGGGCGGATCACAAGGTTAAGAGATCGAGACCTCCTGGCCAACATAGTGAAACTCTGTCTCTACTAAAAATACCAAAAAAAAATTAGCTGGGCATGGTGGTATGTGCCTGTAGTCCCAGCTACTCAGGAGGCTGTGGCAGGAGAATAGCTTGAACTGGGGAGGAGATTGCAGTGAGCCTAGATCGCGCCACCGCACTACAGCCTGGGTGACAGAGTGAGACTCCGTTTCAAAAAAAGAAAAACAGGCTGGGCGCGGTGGCTTACGCCTGTACTCCTAGCACTTTGAGAGGCCGAAGTGTGTGGATCACCTGAGGTCAGGAGTTCAAGACCAGCCTGGCCATCGTGGTGAAACCACATCTTTTAAAAAAAAAAAAAAGAGATAGTCATTAGGGACTACAAGATTTATAAAAACAAAGTTCTCCCTTTTCACATCTCTAGTCTAATGTCCCTGGGGCAACCATTTTTTATCTATTGGCTTCTTACAGTAGATGACATCATCTGATCCCCTTACAGAGCAGCTCCCCCTCAGACAGACATGCACCCACATGTTCTTTTCCCCATTTTCCCAGAAGAGTCAAATCACAATTTGGGATTAGGGTAATATTTATTATTATTATGAGTTTACAAATATTCACAGCCGAAACACACAGTATTATGTTATTTTTTTGTATGTTATTTCTGTCCCCCTTTTTTTTCAATCATTGTGTTTTTTATATACCTACCACTGATTTTCCTCTCAAACTCTTTACCAGAAGTGTATCTCTTCTCTCAGTATCTTTAGATACATGAGGTTTAATTTTTTTATCTTGAGATCCTTCTAGAACCTTCTTTCTTCAGTTGCACTGTGGATTGGTTGCTCTGTATCCTCTGGCAGAGTTAGTCTAAGACTTGCCTTCACCAGTACCCCAGGAATTCCATTAGCCTCTCTGCTGTGTTGGATCTCATTTATTTTCCTCTGTTTGCTCTCTCATGTTTGTTTAGAATTTGCTTTTTTGGGGGGCTGAGGACTTTGATTCTATTGTTTAGAATTTTCTAGTGACTTTCTGAAAAGGGCAAAATTTATGGGAGGTAAATTTTGAATTCTAGCCTGAACAAGTCATCCAACCTTTCTGGGGTTGATGACACCCACCTCAGAGCATAATGGGAAGGAATAAATGCCATATGAAGCACTTAACTCACTGTCAGGCCCATAATGTAGGTGTTCTTGAGCAGTCATGATTTCCAATTCTCGACTGTAATGTCCTTGGGAAACATCATTTGTGTTCTGTTTATATTTTGACAACCTTCCCCCCAGCCTCATTCTAGTGAAGTGCCTGGCACAGACCTGGTGAAACATGGGAAATGCTCAGTTAGTAGCTGGGATGGATACATGGGTTTGATATATAGCTGGGGACATTTGGGCACAAGCTTCCAAAAGTCAGGAATGGATGTTCCCAGCCTCACATGATCTTTCTTCTTGGTGTGTGTTCTCTTCATTTTTGCTGTTGGCTACTTTAGGACCAAAAGAAGAAACGGTGAATGATTTCTGGAGGATGATCTGGGAACAAAACACAGCCACCATCGTCATGGTTACCAACCTGAAGGAGAGAAAGGAGGTAAGTGGAGAAATTGATTGTGAACAGCAGAGGGATCGTTCTGCATACAGGCTCTGAGTTTAAGCCTGGCTGTCTACCCATTATGGGTGCTATGCCAGAAGTTCATCCAGAATGACACAGGCTGAAGTTTACCAGACTTTGCTATGGCCTGGAAGCCTCAGATGAACCTCAGGTGTATGCCTAGAGCACATTCCCTATATTTGGTAGTCAAACAACTCACCCTGGTTCCAAAACAACCTGAAAGAAACTGACTTGGGTCATCAGCTAAAAAAAAGCCACAGAGGAGCTTTTTTCCCCTGGCTTCTCTAGTCCCTCATTTCCCTGGTTTCCTGCCTTGCATGCTGAGACGTTTGGTATATCTTGGAGTCAGCAGAGGGAGCTTTATGAACTGAGACCCTGTAAGCCAAAGGAAATTTGAGGCCTTGGCCTGATCCTGGCACAGCCTCCTGACTGGTCCTTTTTCTTTTGTGGCTACCAAGTGTATGCTTGGCCTAACCAGCTCCATCACTGGGCCACAGCCAGAGCCAATCCTGGGTCCTGGGATCAAGCCCCAGAGGATTACCTATTTGTTACAGTCTTCTTAAGGATGGCCCTTGAGTCACCTTGATCCAAGGGTATTGGGTGTCGTGATCAACAGCTCCATAATGGTGTGGGAAGACAGTTACTAGGGTTGGGCTTTAGTTTAGTCTCCTCCAACCAAACCTCTGGCTCTTGGAAGCTATCCAAAGCCCAGACAACAGAGAAAGCCCTAGGCCTCTCATGGCAGGTTTACAGTCTACATCAGTCCACCCTGGTGGCCTCTCATAGCAGGCTGCTGGTTCGAGGGATTCAAATAGGCTTTCTCCTAGAGCATAACCTGAGATGTTTGGAAGTGCAGATTTTGTAAAATCTGAAGGTAAAATGGCTTCATATTTGCCTGAACCAAGGGAGTGTTAGTGGGAA